TATCTTTGCCCTGTCCCTCTTTTCTTGTGTGTCTACTTTTTATCAGGAAAATTGTATTTCTAGACCTTGTCTCTCCTGCCCAATGTCTTCTTTGCTCCTGAAGCATCAGCTGGCTCAAGTCAAGAACATGCAGATCCTCATCCTAAGTGGTTTTTAGCTATTTGTTCTTAATGGCAAATACTTAGGAATGCTTTCTCAACAATGATGACAAGACAGTCTTGATATGAGACAGTAAGAGGTGAATGTCCAAATTCAAGAAGTGCCAGTGAAGCCCGCCTTCAATTAAGTGGACTTATGGAACTTTCCCACAGAGAACTTTAGAGTACAGTCGTTTATTCATTTAGTCAATATGAACTGCATGCTGTTACAGATGGCATTTCTTCCCTGACCTGGAAAGATGAATAATATCCTGAAAAAAATTTAAGAGTGGAAAGTGTGGTTTGTTGGGAAAATGAATTCAGAAGGAGAATAAGCAGCACTTAAAAACAGGAGAGAGGGTGAAGGGAGATGAGAAGGGGTTGGGGGGGAGGAACTTATGCAAGACTACCAAACTCATATAACAAACTAGAGGCCAGGTACACGAAATCTGTGCATGGGTAGGGTCCCTAGGCCTGGCCGGCGATCAGGGCTGATTGGGGCCTTTCGGCTGCTGGCCAGGACCTTCCTCTGGCTGCCAGTCGGGGCCTCCCTTCCCCAGCTGCTGGCTGGAGCCTTACTTCGTTCTGTGCCATCCCCTGGTGGTCAGCACACATCATAGTGAGTGGTCAAACTCCTGGTTGGTTGAACTCCTGAGGGGACAATTTGCATATTAGCCTTAATATAGATAGATACTGACCAAAGGACAAAAGTTAACTACAAGTCTGAGAACTGGATGGAGGTCACTTGTTAAGTTAAATTAATAATTTCCAACATATAATGTTGCCAGCTACTCAATTTTCACAATATTGTGAGATAATCTCTGCCTTCCATTAATGGACAAATTACTTGACAAGACACACACACACCAAAGAAGAGAACTATACAAAATAGCACATAGCCAAGTGCTAGACTGTATGACACACATGAGAGCCATAATTCAGAGACAGATCTAAGTATCAGTTTTATACAAAGTTAACATAACACTTTTTTAGAACTTCTTAGAGCTAAGACTGCTTCTGAGAACAACTATAATGGCAAAGACTGCGGGCTGTACGTCATTTTGTAGCCACACCCATAAATATGGATGGCTTTAGTGCCAGTGACACCACCAAACAACATTCTAAGCAGTTTTACTCGTAATGTCCCTTTATTTTGATCATAGTACAATAACACTTCAGATCTTAGCTCCAAATTGTATACAGTCTAGATTGCTATCATTCCTGGGATCTTTCCAGTCTTTGGCAAATAAAACCCAGAATACAATCAAAGCATTCACAATTAAATGACAAAACACTTGATTTAAACAAAAATCTATCTTAGTTATTACTTTTGTATCTTTAACCTAGATCGGATCCTTTCTCTTCCACCCTCTGTAACAGCTACAAAGTTTTATGTTCTTGTTTAAGACAAAGTAGAAAAAATAAATATAAAATAAAATTTAGGTGCTTCCCATGTAAAACAGATACGTAATAACTTAGATAAAATAACTAAGATTTCTGTTTGTTAAAAAGATACATTCTAGCCAAGTGAGGACATAGCAGGAAGGTGGCCATTTATGAACCAGGAAGTGGGCCCTCACTAGACACTGAATCTGCCAGCACCTTGATCTTGACCTTCCCAACCTCTAATGTGAGAAATGCATTTCTGTTGTTTTTAAGTCTATCGTAGTTTGTTATTACAGCCCAAATGGAATAGGACACCCACTTAGTTGGTCCAGAAAATTTTCTTTGAAAAAATAAAAAATTCATTTTGTAAAATGTGCTTAGAAGCCTTAAAAAAAAAAACACATGCAAAAACAGAATGCAAATGTATGAAAAGCACAATGACTATTAAAGATTATTAAGGACTTTAATCTGTCACTCTATTAATCTGTATCATAAAAAATGAGTACTTTTAAAGACCAAATGGCACAGTTGAACCTAGTTCAGTTATTGAACTCTTAGTCCAAGAGTAAAAGGTTGATCTTTTTTAAAAGAAGGATGAATATTATTGCTGTAATCGAGAGGTAATTATTTTCAAAAGCAGAAAAAATGCAGCAGTGCTTATTAAAATTGTTATCTTACTTTCAAAAAGGAAAAATGATCAATTAACTATCACAGCCTCACCAAATCTATGAGGTTTACCTTATTTTTACCTTGCTAGTAAACAGCTCATCTATATAGCAACCCCAATTTCTGGGCTAAAATTCTGCACAGATATATTACATTGTGGAAGTCAGTGAAAAGGGTGTGTAACTCTCAGATAATAAATGTCATTAAAATAAATCACAGCATTTTAATAAATCTCTTACCAGTTGAAATTCTCGACGTCGGTCATAGGCATTCTGTATGCCGCTGTCTGCCCATAACGCTCGTATAGCAGGAAGATATTGTAAAAAAACTCGAGTTTCCACCAGTCCCTGGGCCACCAAGGGGGAACGGGTATCAAATGACATCATCTTGTCTCCATTGAGTTGGTTTGAGTTATCTCCCCAAGGAATATGAAGCTTCTCTCGAGCATCTACCAGCACCCTCATACCTTGGTTAAAAAAAAGAAAAGAAAGGAAGTTTGATAGGAATCATTAGATTCTCAAAGATTCTATTCCAGGATTATTTTCTTAAAATTCTTTACTACTCCAGACCTACCTCCTCCAAAGATGAAGACCAACATCAAAACAGACATCTGTAACTTCTCAGAGTTTAAAAAAACTAAGTTATTTACAGTCATAAAATCAGAGCCTTGAAAAGCATGCACTATTAAACAACGGCTCTTTCTGAAGGATTTTAACATGTTCTAATTTATAAAATAACTTCTGAGGTAGAAGGTAGTCAGTCACAAGAGGAAAAAAAAAAAAGCTGCAGAGACCGATGTCCAGGCTCTGAAGAAAACGGCTGCAACCAAGATTTTCTGAGCCCCTCAAAAAGACAGTCATTTACGAAATGCCAGGTGATTTGGTCCCTAAGTATCCTGCTTAATCCAACACTGAGTCTTTTAGGAACACATTCAAAACTCAAAAAAGCATGTCAAGCTTCACGTCAGTATAAGTCACAGGATGACATCAGAGTTCCCTAAAAGAAAGACCAAATGCAAAAAAAAGATAAAAACAGAGATTTCAGCTCACAGAGATTAGTTCAAGCCCAATAACTCTATCACTACACTGTTACCTTTGATCCATCAAACAGTCACATAACTATCAAGAACTCATTCGTTTGGATAACTGAAAAACTGTTGTGCTGTCAATTTTCTGATCATGCCAACTCAAAAAAGTAGATGTCTAGTGACTTACTGCAACTCATACTCAATGCTCAAAACAGGCACATGTAAGAACCAGGTATTTACCTGGCTCATAATCAGTTAACATGTCAACTCTATTCATTGACATAATTCCTGAATTCAGCTACATCAGGATACAAAGGTACCTTGAATTAAGAATTGGCAAGGTGGAGTCTGAGGCCTTGAAAGAGACCTTAATTACTTTCGTGCTAAACATTAAGACAGGATAAATACAGCTGTTTTGCACGGCTTAACTGCAGTGGTGCTGGGGCTGGGAGCTCACTGTGGTCTGGGAGCTCCCTGCCTAGTGCTCTTCTCAGTCATTAACACCTCCCCCCCCCCCCCCCCCCCCCAAACACACACACAGTTTTCCTCTACTCAGTCCTGGGAGAAAAAGTGACCCAAAGGAGCTGCTTAAGTACTTCCCAAACAAACAAACAAAAATTCCATTAAAAAATGCTGAAAAGCAAAAAAAAAAAAAAAAAATGCTGAAAAGACCTGAAATCTGTCGCAAACTCCTAGATAACTGCTACCCGGATGAAATAAAGAGAATCTGGATGCACCTGAAGACCAGACTCTGTATCTCAAGTTTGCCAAAACGTCTTCTAAAACAGAAAATATCTGGTGCTAAGAAAAACAAGGGCTCCTTATCGCTCAAAATGAAAGCCATCTTCTCTAATCCTTTGAAATCCCAGAAATAAAAGTCTTGCGCATTTTTCACTGAAGAACAACGTATAACTTTAATTTTTAAAGTAATGTCAAGTAGCAGAGTCGACGATCCAAGCTGACACTGATTCATGGGCTACCTGTACGGGCTCCACATCCTTTTTAGGTCAAAGGTTCTTCATACCAATGCACAATTTCATTTAAATAATTGAAGCAAGTTGTGGTGTGCACCCCCTCAAATTATTAAAAGAGAGAGAGGAGAGGGAGGGAGAGGAACGTGTGCATAGTGATCACAGGCAAACATCCTGCCCAGCCCTGACTCTGGGCCGAGAAACCACGGATGCTAATTTTTTTTAACTATAACGGGTCTGCTCTCCCCGATACCTGCGCAGCAAACATGACGCCCTCAAGTTTCATATCCTTGTCCAGGAGGACCCAGGCACGGTCACCCTTTGCCCTTGACGCGTCTCGGCAAAAAAGTTTCCCGATCGCGACGGTTGCAGAGCTCCCAGCTCAGGAGGCGCCCGGGAAGCAGGGAGCCGGGAGCGGGCCGACCCCATGTGACTCGC